CCGGAGCAGTCAATGATGCTACGCATTCAGAGAGCACCGAAGACCCCGATGATCTTCTGGCAGCACTCCAAGACACATCAATTAGCAGGCCATCAGACTTCATGATAAGCACACATGATGCCTTGATTGTCAAACAGGGTGGAACAGCGGTGCTGCAAGACGTCATTTTCGATCTGAAGACGCGCTCAGGGAAGTACAAGAAAGACATAGACATGAGCGACATCCACCCAGCGCTCTGGATCAAACAGATATCCAACTTCATCGTCGCCTATCACAACGGTGCTGGACTTTTCGAAGACATCCGAGTGCAAAATGTCAAGAACGATGTGCAGGCCTGGGCCAAAGATAACGAAGAAGGCATCCGCCGCTTTGCCACACTTCTAGATACGATCGTTGAAATCGCTAGGAGTAACGCAGGCAAGTTGCTCGAAGTGTATTGCCCTGGAGCGGACCGCTTGGACGTCCGGTTTCAGTATGGAAAGGGTGTGCACGCCTTGCCTGCGGACCTGACAGACCGCTGGGAGAAGACTTGTATGAATGTCGTCTTTACGCAAGATGATGAATCCGATCAGTTCAAATATAGCGATGGGGGTATCGGTCTAGACGATAGGTACGAATTTGACACTGGCTTTAACGATTCCGGATCGGAGCCAGACTACACTGCTTGTTCAGCTCACGATTGTGGCTACTGTGGGAAGTGCACGTATTGAGAATTGTAGGCTAAATCACGGGCATAAATTAGAGAAAGCAAACGGCTGGCGCGCAATTTATTGTAGTTCTCATGAAAAGTTTTTGTTCTGTTCCTTTGGAACTTTGTTAGCTGCTAATGCTAGCTTTTTGGTTTAATTTCTGATTGTAGCTTCTGCTTCTAAGTCTTTTCTAGAGACTGCTTATATTCGATGGAAAAGCTGTCGTCAACGTGGCCGTCTTGCTCCGACTGGCCTACAAGCGGTACTTGGGACCTATACTTCCTTACCCTTGCGAGGACTTGTTACAAGACCGCAACTATATGATTTCCATAGGGGTCTTCTTTCTTGAAGAGTTGAGGGTCAAGTGGCTGCCAATAGGCCTCGAACCGCTGCTGAACTGTGTGGATATCCATCTCGTCGTCACCTTCTATCCAAGCCTGTACAATACCTACTCGTCGATATATCCCGTGATTTGCTCCAGGTAACAGACTTAACAGAAGACCCGTGAAGGTACCTTCTTGAGAACAGTTCTCATCCTCAGTCAAATCCTCATCCTCAGACGACTCGATGTAACACAGTATCGGCATGATAAGAATGTTTCCAAGAAATGCTTTCCCTCGATTATTTTGTGTCTGCTTGTCTGGCATAGACGACCGACGTGTTTCGGCCAGGGTTACTCCCTCCCTGTGTTTCTGAGCAGTTCCGGGGTCTTCTGGAGTGGGTGGTTGAGTCATGTCAGCCAAGTATCCTTCAATGGTTCAGTCGAACTATTCGTCTTGAAACCACGTGAGTGCGAAACTTTTATCGTTCGAACCCAAGACGAAGAAGTACCGAAATTCGCTTGGACATGGTAAGATAGGCCCGGAAAGCTTTAGTCCTGGTGGGTGAGTAAAGCTGATATTACAGATGCGATGTAGTATAGGTTTTCGTAGATTGTAGTCCCAATCTAAGTTGTCTCTCCGTGCCATCCATGACAAACATGGTGAGCTGATCCATGGTGGTACGATTCCAGAGTCCAGGGGTTGATCAATATATTTGAGTTCATAGAAAGAGTATCCCACGACGGATGTCGTTGAACCAAAGTCCAAATATGCTTCTATTGTCGAGACGTTTCGCAAATTCATCAGCAATTCCGGCCAGGGCAGATAGCTGATACTCAACAAATGTAAGACGACGAGTCGAGTAATTTTCCACAACGTCGTACCAGACGTCGTAGAGGGAAGCCTAACCTTCGTCAGCCTGCCGAAGCAACTTTGGATCCCCGATCGACGCAATTGAAACTGATGTCATTATAAGGTACATCTCTCAGTCTGAACATCCAAGATGTATTGATCATACTGGATTGAAATTGTTTTTCCAGAGGAAATTCCGCCCACACATAAGGCCAAACTTCATTCGCGACTGTAAATTTACACTCCTAGTAGACTTGATCGTCATTAAAGTGTATATTTCGGATTGACTAACAATCAGACTGTGAACGAAGTTGTATCTCATCAGGGACACTTACCAGTAGTTGTTCTTGCAGTGTCCAGGCCCGAAGGAATATTGGGCTGCGTCTCAGCTCGTTCCATGGTTCCGCATTCATCACACAATAGCTCTTCTTGGAGTTGTTCTAGGCAGTTGAGCATTTGGTTTCTGGAAACTGATGACTAAGAGGCACGTTCACTGGGACTGGATCAATACGACGCTTGGTTGATAGGAATCCTTCTACTCCGTCAGAGAAGCCAGAAGCCGAGATGTTACAGATTGCGTTTTTGTAAACTGCATGCATGGAACGCGACTCCTGCTTCCAGTCTTCAGTATCATCTTGTAAGATGCAGAGAGAGTCGATCCAGATGTATTGGAAACTCAATTCCGTGGTCACGAAGAGGGCATCCTGAAATGCCCTGGATAGGCTGTCTACGGGAATCGACGATTCGAATGAACTGAGGTTTGTGCGCGTCGTGGTCAAGAGCTTGGCATCGCCCCAACAATGGGAGAGGGTAAGGCATGGTGTTTGGATAGGAAGTGAATCGCCTCGATAGATTCTTGCAGACACTTTGGAGCTTGTACTAGTTGGATCGACGTATACAAGCCTAGTTGGAAACACTTTGTGCTTTGTATCAGATCGACATTTATCGTGCTTCGAGACACATTCGTCTATCCATCTTCTGATAAATGAAAAGGTATATTTCGATTTTGTTGATTGGTCTAACTCGGAACGAATATTCTCGACATTTTGCGCTAGATTTGTTAGTTTCCGATCCCAGAATTCGGGAAGCGTTCACCTTCAATGGATGGCTCCAACAGCCAGAAAACAACTGCAACTAAAATTCCATCCGCTGGACCATAGATTATGATGCATAAGTCGGATTCCAGCACGTTGCATGTACGGTCGCCGATATCTTTGTCTTTCAACTCCTACATTGAGTGATGAACGATGTGAGAACTCTGGCGCCAATTAAGTGCAGGCGATGTGTAAGTTCTCCGAGTTCAAGTGCAAACATAGCAACCCTGTTCGACCGCTTGAAAGAACGCCTTGTCGTTGGTATGATGCTCTTTCTCGTCATCACTCTTGTTCGGCCCTTCTGAGATAATGTCCTCACATCTAGCACACAGCCTGTTTCCTGACATTGTCGCTGAGCGAATGAATGAAAATAGTCTATGGCATTGTCTAGCCTGTCGTGATGAGCGATAGTGCGAGCGTCTTCAATGATGATCCCGTCGAGAGGCTGAGTAGCCAGTGAATCGCAAAACCGCGGTGTGGTCAGCTCGCTAAGGCGTGCCAGTATGAATGCTCCGAGATGCGCCGACTTTGTGTGGATTCCGCAGTTTCTGGTGGTGGGCGGATATCTATTTTGGTTGCCGATGTGCTGGACGCAGAGAGGAACGTGGGGCTAAAGTGGGCGAAGATCAGTGACGTCATGGCAAGGCCACTCGTATGGCATGGTTAGTTCAACAAAGTCTTTTATACCAACGCTATCACGAACTAACATGACATTTAATACTCCACGACTTTCTCCAATCATACAATACCTTCACATGATTCCAAACTCATATCTGATCAATCTTGGGTCGCGAAAGTCATGTCCCTGACTCCCCTTCCTTCTGTACAAAAGCAAAGAACAAAAGCGACAATGACATCACAGCCCGTACAACGCGTATCACGAACATTCCCTCAAGATATTTAGTAGCCTCATGGATGTTTCACCTGCATTCCTTATCCTTGCGATTGTCATCGTCAAGCCTCCGCCATGCGCAAGCACCAGAAAGAGCCTCAGTACAACGTAATCTGTGTCCCTATAGCAAGCGCTGATTGAGAATCAGATTTTATTCCTTTAAATATACATATTCGCTGTAAGAGGTCTCCAATGATTGACTATTACCCGTCCCTCATCGTCACAGACACCACAGCATACGTTGTCGATGTCTTTGTGAGTCGGGATGCTACCAGCTCCTTGTAGCGTTGAGGATGTATTTACGGTGGACAGATAATGCGCAAAGCTCGAATTCAGATACTACGAGTCTCTACATACATTTTTGACCAAACGAAGACGTGTATTGTACTATCACCTCCCGAGCAATACGACGGTTTTGACACAAAGCATGATACCTCTCGTCTCTTTTGGCGGTCAAGTCAAGGGGCGATCATCTTGCCTGTACTACTGCTGCCCTATAACATAGCTGCCTGTCTCACGGCATGCAGTATTCGAAGGGCACGGCGTACATGGCATGGCTGCATTTATCGTACCTATGGAGATTTGTTTGTCACCGCAATTTTAGCATGCATACAAATCAAGGAGCTAGCATGGGAGTCCTAGGTCAGTCGATTGAGACGCCTATTATCCACGTGTTTGCCTCTCCCGATACTTCGTCACTCCGTCACTCCGCTGATCCCACCACTCCACCACTCCGACTCTCCGATCCTCCGGCCACTGATTTCTCGTTCTTGTATATCTCTGCTGTATTCAGTATGGCTTACTCTCTAAACTTCATTCCGTTCCTCCGTGATTTTGCAGACAGTCCGGATAAGGCTGTCTACGTTTGGTCGCATTGCTTGAACAATCTGGCCGACAGAGGCATTATTGAGTTTTGCCCCCTGTAATCGGTGCTTATGCCATACAGCCATTCATGTATTGCTAATCTGTCGTATACTGATAGGAATTGTAGGCCACGAGGTTCCGTCCGGAGTTCCCAGTGTGAAGTATGTAGAGGCCAGGTATAAATTGTCTAGGGTCGACCTCGCCGCTGTTCAAACAGCACATCTCCAAGCACTTGATACAAACGTCTAGGCATTACTATCGAATCAACTACCAAAATCATCTCTTCAATATGCCAGGTACAGTCACCAGCAGTGCTCCGTTCCGAACCATCGTGGTGAAGCAACTACACTCTACCTTTGGTGCCGAAGTCGTTGGCGCAGACTTCACCAACATGACCAACGAGCAATTTGACGAGATCAAACAAGCAATGGCTAAAGTAAGCTCAGTCCATTTCCCTGATCTCGCAAAGGCTGATCTATCACAGTACAGCGTACTCGTCTTCCGCAAAGCAAATCTAAGCGACGACGAGCACGTCGCGTTCTCTCGGAAGCTTGGAGAGTTGCACGATCTCAAGCTGCATGTGAAGAATCACAGATTCAAGCACCTCGAGCTTTTTGATGTTGGAAACGTTGACGATGACGGCAAGCCGTTCGCTGTAGACTCGCCTCGCACACTGTTCGGCAGAGGCAACGCCGTATTCCACAACGACAGCTCATTCAATCGGCAGCGAGCGAGTTGGTCCATCTTGCGGGCCGTGAAGCTGCCTCCTCCAGGCACTGGTGGTGAGACGGAATACGCAGACAGTCTAGCTGCATGGGATAATCTTGATGAAGAACTCAAAGGAGAGTTGCTCAAGAGGGAACTGGTCGGTGTACATTCGTTCTTGCAGCTTCGCAAGCTGGGTGCTCCGGAGTACTTCGCCGACGTCGATCCCTATAGCCAGCCCATGGCTCGCCACAAGATCGTGTCAACGCATGAACCTTCTGGTCGCAAGACGCTATATGTTGGCAATTACCTGCATCATATCGAGAAACCGGATGGTACACCGCTACCGGAGGAAGAGAACGCGGCTCTGATGGAGAAACTGATCGGTCATGTAACACGACCTGAGAACGTGCTCAGGCTGGAGTGGTACGATAATGGGGACATGATCGCATGGGATAACGTGTCGACACTGCACCGTGCTACGGGAGGTATTTACGAAGGTAAGTTCACCCGCGACATGCGTAGAACGACTGTGAAAGACGACAGCCCGGAGGGTTGGGGTGTCAACTCTACTGAAAAGGTTCTTGCAACTGACACTGTCAATCTCTCGAGCCTGAACTATTTCACGAAGTAGTGCAGTCATCCATTCTCCACGTACATGAGAATCTTTTTTGATCTCCGTAGCTAGATCTGCAATCTAAGATATGGTCACTATATCACATGACCGGCGTACTAGTTGTCGTGAAAACTTGCATTCAGAGTTGCTAACAATCAATCCAAACTGATGAGACTGACTGACTGACTGATTGCTTGGCAGTCAGTTCAGTGTCAGTTTAGAGCTCTCGTCTTATCAGTCAGTTCAGTTTAGAGCTCTTAAACTGAC